CCGTGTGAGCGCCCGCCCCAGCCTCAAGCGGCCAGGGCCACAGGCAGGTGCGCGTGGCCAGCACACACAGGAAGTGCCCGGGGCGCGAACTGCAGACCTTCCCCTGTGACCTCAGCCTCTGGGAGCACTGAGTTACCCCGTGCCTCTGCGGCTGGCCAGTGAGGACATATTCTCAATCAGTTCCTGTTTGTTTAGCAGGGATGTTTGTGTGCTGTGAGGCTGGGCCTGGGACACCCTTTCACCTCTCACCTGACGACTCAGCACAGGCGCCGCAAGTGTTCCTCCCAGACCCCAGCACCTGGCTGAGCGGTCCCACCGCGAACGGTGTGTGGGCATTGTTGCCGGCTGGCTGTCACCTTAATGTGACCATGCTTAGGGGAGACAAGGCAGGGTGGTCTGTACATCTCACACCTCAAACCTTGCAGCACGGACAGCCACTCATCTGCTCAGTGGCTTTGAAGAAATAGGCACCCCTCTCTGGAATCCTATGTTTTCTTTCAAGCTTACCTATTTCTTCTATGAATGAGAGAAAGGAAGAGGGAGAGACAGCATCCCCAACAGGATCCCGACTCCACGACCCAGCCCACAGGCGCAGGCGTGCACGTGCCCAGCATACTCAGGGAGGCCCCTGGACATGGACCCAGGCCCCACGTGGGCCAGCCTCAGATTGTTGCCCTTTACTGCTGTGCCGCCATCTGTTCCCTGGAATCTGTTTTTTGTTTGTTTTGTTTTGCTTTTTAGGTTTTTGTCATATGTCTTGTGTACTTGCTGAAGAGGCGAGAGACAGAGAGAAGGAAAGTGAGAAATCACCTCCCGGGGGATGGTCACATCACAGTCCCTTCTCCTCCATTCTCCTCTGGGGATGTTAGGCATGCACACACACACCCGGTGTGGGCTTCAAGTCAGCGAGTCCAGGACTCAAACCACAGTTGGCCATGTGAGGATCCAGCACCTGAACCACCGTGTCACCTGCCCCTGGAGTCCAACCTTAGGAGTGGTCCAGTGACTATTCCATCTCTAAGTGCTACTGGTGGCTGGCTGATGACTCATTTAAGTCGTACAGGAAGTCACAGTAATGGCCCAGATGGCGACAGAATTATGCAATTAAGTAGTTTTATTTAATCTCCTATAATTAAACTATAAACCCATGATTACTAGAATATCAGAATTATGACGTTAAATTGCTTTTTTGCTTAGGTATGGCCCATAATTGATTTTGTACTGGATCCTGCATGGCCAACTATGTGGTTCCTGTCCCACCTGGTGGCTTGAAAATCACGCTGGGCACATGTGTGTGCATGCCCCAAATCCCGAGAGATTAGAGGAAAAGGGATTGTGGTGTGGCCATCCCCCAGGGGGTGATTTCTCACTTTCCCTCTCACTGTCTCTCTCTCTGGTGAGTGCATGCACCCTATGGCAAAATAAATAAATAAATAAATAATAGTCGGGTAATCTCCTCCCTCTATATTATTCTTTGTCCTCCTCCTCCTCCTCTTCTTCTTCATTTTTTTTTTTTTTTCTGCTATAGGGTGTGTGTTTGTCAGAGAGAAACTCACACTGCGGTCGGTCATGTGGGAGTCTAGCACCCTAGCCACCACGCCACCTGCTGTCCCCCCCATTCTAAAGAACACATTACCGGGGAGCAAAGAAATGGCAAAAGGGTGAAGGCCCACGTGTGCACAGCCTTGGGACAACTGTTGGGAAGAGAGCACTGTTTTCCCAAGATTCCTGGGCTGGAAATAGCACAGGGGATGTGGAAGTGGACTACGAGGAAGAGACTGTCCAGCCGGAACTTGGGAACGGTACCGCAGGCTGAAGGTCGCTCACTAATAAAGCCAGTAACAGGTTTCGTTTGTTTGTTGGTTTTAATCAAGGTAAGAGCTCACAGATCTCTCTCTCTCTCTTTTTCCTTCAGTTTTCCAGAGGGCATGTGGCCAGAGAGAGAAAGAGAGAGGAAGGTGAACAAGCACTCCCTGTGGGATGGTCACAGAATGCTGCGTGTGCGTGCGCACCAACCAGTGTTTCTCAAGCTGCTGGGTCTGGGACTCAAACTGTGCACCTGGCCACCTGGGAGCCAGTTGCCCTAACCACCATGCCATGGACTGGCCCAAACATTGCTTGCTTTCTTTCTTTTTTTAAGGCTTTTGCCATAGGATGCAGGCACTCACCAGAGAGAAACAGAGAGAGACAGTGGGAGGGAAAGTGAGCAATCCCCCCTCAGGGAGATGACCACAATCCCTTCGCCTCCTGGGAGTTTTTGCCATGCACGCACTTGCACCCAGTGTGGTTTTCAAGCCGCCTGGTCTGACACTTGAACTGCAGTCGGCCATGTAGGAGTCCAGTGCCTTAACCACCATGCCACCTGCTGCCGTCCCCCCTTCTTTCTTTCCGTTTTTAAATAATTATTTTA